GCGACGGGGCGGCGAACCTCGCCCCGCCCCATCTCACCAACCCGTTCGGGGCGGGTTTTTTTACCCCATTCGGGGCGGGGCCCCACGGGGACGGGGACGGGGACGGGGCGGGGCGGAGAAAATTGCCATCTCTAGCTATAAGTATTGAAAAAGAGTATTTGAAGTAATAAGTGTCCTTATTTGACCCAAAAGATTAGAAGAAAAAATAAAAACAATTTAGGATTAATAGCAAAAAACTTCCCTAAAAATATTTTCATTTGCAATATACCCGTTACTTATTGAAAATAGCGGAAAACCCCTCTATTTGTAACTTTTTGTGGAAATACTCCCTACTGTTAAGATCCATAAGATTTGTTGTTAAAAACAGTAAAAAAAAATGTCAAAAATGATTGCAGTTGCAGTTCCTAATTTTTTTTTTAGCAAATTATATCTAAATATTTAAGGATAATTGCAGTAAAAGCCCCAAATCTTTCAATCACATTCAAAACTAAATAAATAAATAAAATGTTGGGAATAATACAGCACAATGCAAACTTTTCTTAGCATAATATCAGACAACAAAACCAATGTCCAGCATAACAGAGTTCTACAGGCTCATCAAACCAATGACAGAATTCAATATGCTTCAGAATCAGAATTAACATATATGTATTCAAAACTATACCCATAGCATTTACAGATATACCAAATCAGCAGAATACTATCCAACTCAAGTAATGACTACAAATATAAATATATACTGTAGAAATCGAAACTGAAATCATAAACTGAAAACTGAACAGAACATGTAAATGACCAGAATTAAAAGGCAGAAAGCCACTCCTCTTTTGCCCGTGCTCCTTCCCTTCCTCATGTTGTTCTTCACTTCAACTCGGCCGAATTGATTAGGCTCAAGAATAGCCCCTTCCACGCCTTGCAATCGCCGTCCAGAGAGAGGTAAGAACCAACCAAGATCTCCAACATCTCGACTAGGGTTATCGATCCAAAGGATTTACCGTAGCAGCCAAGAAAACACCGAATTTGACCTATCAAACCAACCCCAGAGAAACCTAACCCTTAGCCACTATTTCAGGCCTAAGAACACACTGGTAGTTTCATTAATTAATGGGCTAGAAGGTCAATTTGGGAACCACTAGAAGGAGAAGAAGAACGAAGGCAAAACTGAGAGAAAACTGGGAGCAAAATCGTGCCCTAGAAGGAAGTCAGAGAGTTGTGTCGAAGAAGCCAAGCCCACTGAATATAAAGAGAAAGTCAACCAAGAAATATCTAACACAAGATTAAATCTCAGCCCAATAAGTGTTAAAGAGAACCACTTAATAAACCCAAAGTCCACATAAAATCATATTTTTCTTCACCAAATTCCTCACCCTACCCCCTACCCCAACCCCGAAGTCAAAATCACAAACACCACAACACACCTTCAGGCACTACCACTGCTTCCGATAGAAATATCTTTCATTCTAGAAGATTTTTTTGTGGACGTTTGTCAGAGTGCTCAGGTACTCAAAATTCTTAAATCGAGATACTCACTCACTGAGTCGGCAAATGTAAGCACTCATCAAAAAATAATGGAAGATATATGAGCAATAGGTGGTGGCGGAGGGGACCGGAAGCTGAAGCCGCACCATTTCTAGCAAGCATTGAAGTGTCCTTGGTGTGATTCGCTTAACACAAAGTTTTGTTATTACAATAATTATAACCAATCTCAGCTGCGTCACCCCTGCAAGAGTTGCCGGCTATACCGGACCAAAGGCAGCATCCTCCTTAATGTCCTCGTCGATGGCGACAACCAGAAGACTAACAAGCGATCCAAATCGAAAAAAGGACACAAATCACTTTCACTTTCTAGCTGCAAGTATTCCAGTCTCTCCGACGCCATCACCATGGCAGAGGCCACTCCTACATCAGCCATTGGAAATGTCAGCTTCATCATTGATGCAGCTGACATTTTTCCTTATTCGAAGTTTTATAACGTGAATTTGAATTGACAAGCTACGACTACATATCCTAGCTTTGATTCACAGCCGTTGGTGAATCAACCAATAGACGGTCAGATTTTCACCGACAACGAAAGCTTCATAAGCTTGGAAAATATGCTAGGGTTCAACATGGTTGACATTTCCACATCGTTCGATCCGTTAGAGCAATTATTTTGACCTTGGGGTAGGGGGTAGGGTGAGGAGTTTGGTGATAA